GCCTCGGCACTTAACCGCATCCTCAATTATCTCTCCGCTACAGCCCACCACGCCTTCACATATTATCCCCGACCTTCTACTACGCTCCCGGATGACAGTCTCGTCGCATGTACCGACTCGGACTGGGCTGGTTGTCTGGCATCTCGCTAATATCAGACCAGTTCCCTTCTCTGCTACAATGGTACTCCGATATACTGGAAGTCTCAGAAGCAGAAGACTGTTGCTTTAAGCTCTAGCGAAGCCGAATTTGTTGCTGCTTCTGAGACTGCTCGGAACATCTCTTGGGTCCGCAATCTCGTCAGTTCCCTTGCTGGTCCTCTTCCTCGTCCGACTGTTCTTCATATTGATAATCAGTTGGCTATGAAAGTGGCCCTTGGAACAGGCACACCTAAAGGTCTTAAGCATATTTAAATCCGTATTCATTACATTCGGCAATGTATTCAGGACGATATCTTGACCCTCAACTACATTCAAACTGATGATAATCCGGCTGACCTACTGACGAAAAGTCTTCATCGTCCTAAACACACCCGATTCCGGTACAAACTAATGTCCTCGGCTCAGCCCAGCCCGCCCGATTAGTCCTTCTGGGGGGGGTTTCGGGGTAGCATCACTCCTCACTTATTTATAAGGACATCCCCGGTCCCCTTTGTTTAGTGTCCACCTTTATGGTCCTCTATAGTTGTCTCCCCGCATGGGATTATACTACAACCAAATACAATATAATGGGTTTAGGGCCCATTATATAATCTAGGTCAAATATACAATAAACCTTTAGTTTTTCTGTAAATAAAGATTATTAGACTCTATTACTCCCCCTTTATGGCATTTATAAAAGCCCTGCGGGGAAAATTTAAAAAAAACATACAAAAAAATAAAAACCGATTTTTTTTTCACCAGTTACCACCATAGCCTCCTAAATTATACAGAAGGCTATGTTACCACCATGTATAATGTATTTATTATACAACCAATATTATACACATTCCAAGTTCTCGCGAAATGTCGTCCACCTGATGTGCTGTGGTGCATGTATTTATCTCTATGCTCTCCAGCAACTAAAGCAAGGCAAAGCCGCTGGATGCGAGACATTTACATTGGTGATATGCACAGTAGTTTCTTCGCCGTTTGACTCTTGGTGCACACAAAGTATTCTTGTACAATCGAAGTCAATAAATTTTGGACCAATTTCGTACGGTGCAGAAGCAAGAATTTCTTCAAAAGATTTTTTAAACATATGTGGTAGGTATATCAAATCATGTGGTGTAGTAGAGATTCAAGCCTTTTGGTTATGTGTGAGGCTGTCACAGAGTACACAGAAGCGGTGCCAATTCTTGTCAACCAATTCAGCCATATCATTCAGGATGGTTAATACGGTGGAAAATTGTCAGCGATTAATACCTCGTCTTTAGACAATATCCCTTATACGACCAAGGGCATATAGTCTCAAAATGATAGCGTAGTCTCAAATCCGGTTTACCACCTTCTACACTCATATAGTAAAGATAGCTGAGGCCTGTGCAGAGCTGAACATGACTGTAAATATGGCTTCGGTAAACATCACTTAATTTTAATTTTCAATCTTCATCTGACAATTGTATCCACGTATATGCCTTACACTTAGGGTTTTTACTGTAATACCTACAATGCAAGTGCAAATTGCAAAAAAATCGCAACGATTAAAATGGAAAAGGCTTGTCGATCAATATTCAGGTTGGGCGCTCCTGAATTACTCTCGAGTTGGTCAGCTTCTGTGCTTCTATCGAAGCTGTCTATGTTTGGATTCGAGTCCTCCGCCGTACTGGATTCTGTGCTTGATGGTAATGCTAGGTCAGCATCTTCCCCTGTTGTTTGCTGAATTGAGTCATCAGCAATTTTTCCAATTGCTGCCGCGATTTCGAAAAGCTCCATTAACTTGGCTAAAGCGTCGGCGCTGACTACTGGACTAGTGAGTCGTTTGAAAGACCAGAAACCGACATTAGCAAGTGACCATGCATATTGGTTTCAAGAGAAAAGCGCACGTGGAAGTTGCAGGAATGAAATCATCAAAAGTCATATGCGTGAGCATCACGAAAATCTACTGGGCCGCTCGCATAAGTCTTTGGTTGGATAGACTTACCTAGTTGCCACTGTGGTTACATCATTCAAACAGTTTGGCGACATATTATCTATAAATATCCTGTATTTGCCTCCGAATTTAGCCGTAGCTGCTTTCTCCAAAGAAATATCGTACTTCCCAGGTGGACAGCAGTCGCTGCCAAAAGTGACCCATTCAGACCCCAGTCCGGCTTTGTAGAGTGCCACATTGCCACCTGGAGAGCCAAGCACGAATGTATTTCAAATTTACGCGGTAGAGGCAAATACTAAACACTTGTCACGGAGATGATGTATCGGTCGTAATCGATGGCATACCTTTGAGGAGGTTCATATCGTACGATGTTGGTCCTTGGAACCAGATGCTTAGCCGGCGATAATCAGATTGCTGATATGAGAAAAGGGTCCATTCACGGACAAATTCTCCCTCCAGCTCTATACAGCTGTCAGACGCAACCGTACGAGTATTACTATCGAATATAGTTGTCGACATGCATAGCAAATGACTGCCCTTTTATATCTGCACACAACGAATCGTCAGGAAACTAATGCTGAATATGTTTGACAGATATATTCATTGGTTTATGCTTTCGTGGCAACAAAATTCAATTTGGGGTTTGTGGGTCGTATCATTCTGAGAGCGTGGATTCATAAATGACATCTAGACAAGAGCGCGGAACTCACCGGCCAGGTGTTTCCAAACAAATATCGGGGGCGCTAAGCGTTTGAAGAGGGTCAAGTTCTGGAAACGGATTGCATTCTGGTAGGCTATTCAGGTCCTTCGGTACAAGCAGTCTGTACTGATCATATTTGTTCGTCCTCCAAATCCTGTGGGAAGATGAGAAATAGATGTCGTTTGCGATTTCAGATGGTCACAACTATAAAAATACCGAGGATTAATACACGGAATTTATACTTAGCAGCTTCATAGGACACATACCCAAGATCAATCACCACTCTGTAGTCACCAGGTATGAAACAAGATCCCGCAGACAAAGGCATAAAAGCGCTGGGGTTTCCGTTTATGGCCCCGAGTCGCTGCTCGATACCCTCTATATAGAAGCTCACATCGGATTGCAGATCTCCTTGGAAGAAGAATGCTTGCTGCATTTTATTTTGTTTACGACAAGTTTGTACGCATTTATTCGTAAGAGGGGTATATAGATTGACTTCAGCTGCGAATAAATCATTGCGTCTGTGAAGCGAGATGATGAAAATGATCAACCCTTGCATCCCCAGCATGAAATACATACCTGAAGTTCTACACCTTTCGACAACGAGAAGTTGTAAATAGTCTCGGTTCTGCCAAATGCACTGTCTTTCACCTCAATGCAGCTCCCATCTGCGCATGACTAGAGAAAAGTTTACAATAGTGTCGCCACTAATTCAGTTGTCATTTCAAAAACTATTCAACTATAGCCAGTTTACATACATCAATCTAGAAATGTGCACAGAAATACTACTGAGACAGGAGTTTACTTCCAAAAAGCTATAGCAGCATGAAACGTTAGGTATGCATACCGCAGGTAAGGAAATGTCATCCAAATCGGGATTTGAATTTTCCATGGTCTCCTGAATCCAGGTAAGGTATTCGCCCACGCGCGTGTATACCATGGGCAGTCCTACACACGTAGTTGAACCGAAGCTGATAACGCCGATGAGAAGCGTTTCGCCTTCTACCTCTGCAAATAGCGGTCCACCAGAATCTCCTAGTCAAAAATAAAAACGATGGAAGGTGAACACTAGACCGACAGACTGCGCAGCTGATATTCAATTTGCACTCTTCTGTCTATCATTGATAAATCGAAAAATATATTTACCTGTGCAAAAGCCTTCTCCGTCACTTAGTGTTTCGGTGCACATCACGGATTGCGGAAGCTCCTCTGGAATTCCTCCACCCCAAACTGAGCAGTCATCGTTAGGATAAACCTTTACACTCAACTCTTTGAGCTCGTACGAAACATCTAGTAAAGAATGATATTGATCAATGTGTCGATGAGGTGACTTTACTAAAGAATATTACAAAATCACTGAATCCTATTGGTTTGATCCACACATCTATACTTACCAAGAGATTCTGTCTTGCCCCAGCCCACAATCTTTGCCGAATCATCCGTGTCTTCATTCTAATGATGATATTTGAAACATGGTCTGAGTATGGTATTCGCTATCACATTCCTGTTCACAGCCCAAGAAAAAAAGTTTCAGCTATGTGTACAAAATTCTGGCACCCACTTCTGACTTGAGTGTAATCCAACAATAAGTTCATGATCATCGTCCTGCCAATAGCAGAATGCATACCACATCCACATAGAGAGAACACGAATAAGCTTTGACGTTTTGCAGTGGAGTGATCGGGGAGCATATCACAGAGTCAAAGGTTTCTGGATGCTCCCTATTCAGGTAATGAACTGGCACTGAGGCATCTTACCAAATCTCCACTTGTGAGCTTGACTGGCGCACCGGAATAGTCGGAATCGAATTCGACCAACATTATGTCGTTCGCGAGAGACAGTGAATCATATTGTTCGTGTTGATATATTTTCTTCACGGTGACGCAATGAAACTCTGTTTTTAAGAAGAAAATGTGAAATTAACAATCTTTCTTTAAAATGAAATCGAGACTAAATAAGCCCGGGTACTCTTTCTTAATTGTAGATTATACAATCGCAAATATCATGTGCGAATGTCCTACCTGCATTGTTTGCCAATTTGAGACCTCCAATACACACGGTATTGAATTTATCTATACAGTGTGCAGCGGTCAGAATCCATCCCTTGGCGATGAGACTGCCACCACACCAATGCTGAAGTTGGGGATAAAACAAACGAAACTCAGATACTGTTATCAGAACAACACTCCATTGCCAGCAATGAGCTTCTTTTTTGAGAAGTGTTTTCAAAACCTGCAAGGTAACCAAGTTTGGGTGTCCTGATTGAGCAGAACACACCTGATATTCCCCATCTATTCGATTCTGTAAAGAGGCGACCCATTGCAGTTGGAGTTCAGCAGCTTGTCCTCCAACAATATAACTCGCAAAATTAGCTGGTTTCTCCGAGTCCTCTTTCAACCATGGCATAGACTCTGGTTATGAATAATACTGTGAATAAGTTGAAAGTATGTGTTTGCGTACAGGATCATTCCACGAATGATACGAAATCATGCACGCATTGTTTTGTAGTTGCGAAGACTTACCTCCGGGATGTGTGGTGGCCTCTTCTCCGTCTGTTGCCCTGGTAATGGCCACACACCCGATAAGAACCAAAATTGAGAGCCAATTCTGGATAATAGTCATGGCGTGGTGCTGGTGAGATTAACTATAAGTCAGGATGAAATGCAAGATGCACTGTAACCAGAGATTCAATCTACTGTTCAGGTGGAGATGCTTATTAGTACATTTTTCTCAACACTTCAAGTTTAGCAATTAGATTGTGGTAACGGACAATTATATTAATATGCAAGATAATATGCTTTTAACGTACCAGTAATGGATATATGGTAGACTGGATAGGCAGCTGGCGGCCTGGCGCTGCATCGCTTCAGAGTTCAGACGCTCAATCTATTGAAAGGACTTTCGGGGGAGTTTAATTTTCGACTGAAGGCCTAACACTATTTATTCGCCAATGAGATCGTAGGTTACTATGCCTGGCATTCTTGCAAGAAAACAATTGCCAGAGGCCCAAGCCCCAGGGGCCCAGAGCCTCCAACGGTCCAACTCCAAGGCTCCAAGGCTCCAACTTCCAAGGCGCCAACAACTAATTTTTTTTGTTGAAAAAATGAGATACTGTAGGTCAGGTCGACAGGTTCGTCAGCCGTCAGGACGCAGGACTTCAGTCATCAGGAGGCCCAGACCACTGAGCCCAGGGGCTTTGTCTATACGACACCCGTCACTAAATATAAAATTACTAACGCCCGAGCCCGTGTCCAAAACCGCATCCGGTCCATTCGCAAAGGTAGGGTCGATATTTATGGGACCTCACCAAATACACGTCGGTCCAGAAAATGGACTAGGGTACATCACTGACGGTAAAGACGTCATACAGTGGATTTTGAAATCAGTGTGGAACTGTGGACACGTACAAATGGGTTATAGAATGCTTTGATATCAGACACGTGCAAGTGGGTTATAGTATGCCTTGATATTAAAGTGGAACTAAGGACGAGAGAAACATAGCGAAAAATTGTAGTGCATGTCTATTTAATTTCGAGGTAATAGGCCCATCTTGACGCATTCCCGGCAGTCCATGATAAAAATAGGCTGATAAAGATGTCGACAACGTGGTAAGTACGCGATATGGTCCTATGTATTTATGTGTTTATGTATCTATATATCTATGCATCTGTACATCTATGAATCTATTTATGTATGTTATGTATGTATGTATGTATGTATGTATGTATTTATGTATGTATGTATCTATGTCTGTATGTATGTATGTATGTATATATGTATGTATGTATGTATTAAGTACGCGGTATGGTCCTATGTATCTATGCATGCGTGCATGCACGCACGCAGCGTGCACTCGTGCTTGTATAT